ACATAGCAGCTGAACCCAAGACAGATTCTAAAAAAACAAAACTTCACCGAAACTTCGCTCAGCAGGAAACCGGTCATAAAGCATGTCAGTGCCCGCCGCCCCCCGCGCCCACCCGCCGAGACCACACAGTTTGCTTACTTAATGTCTCTCAAGGCAAGCTCACCAAAAGCATGCCCGTTCTTCATATAGCCCTGATGCAGAGCATCGTCTTCCAAACCTCAAGGTCGGTACTGCATTTGTCATGACTATTGGCGCATGCAAGAACGGCTTTAGACTTTTTGTCTGAATCTGACATCAAGTTCAGACTGCTCAAATCTGTCCTCGCCAGGCGTGCGCAAGCCGAGTCGCCTTGGCTGCAGCCCATTAAGCTATGAGCTGGCCTCAATACTACTTGTCTGTGTTCACGGGGAAATGCATATTTAGTGTACCACACATCTTTTTGCAGGCTTGGGGGGCGGGCGGTATCGTCATCGTTTTGCAGGGTCGCCCGAGTGCCCCGTATTGTCTTGCAGTGGCTTTAACATTTCTGCACTCGTTGAACAACCACCTTTACTGTTTTATAATATCGGTGATTTTGACGCCGGCGGCTATGAGAGCCTGGTTATATACACCCAGATGATAGGGCTTGCTGCCCTTCTCACCCTATCCTCATCTTCATCAACACCGTCACCACCTTCGTCATCTCATTGGCGGTGCCGGCGTTCTACTTCTCATCCTTGTCAGAATTATGACGGTCGTCGGCATCAAAGGAAGCTTATAATCATTGCGTTATCATCTGATTCCCCACAACCGCCGCAAGCTCAAGGGGATTCATGATGTGCTAATAATTCCTGAGCACTAAACTAGACCCCTGTTTACTTACTGCTTTCAAAAACTGACATCTGTTTTGCAGCCAGCGTGCTCTTCCAGGCGAGTGAACTGCTGCTGCATCCTGCTTTAACGTGTTGGAGCTTCTGTTTCACGAGCTCGCTGCACACTTTCCTCGCTGATGCTGAACGCAAATGTACTGACTGTGCTTGTGTAATTCGCTGCATGCCAGGATTCGGATTCCTCACAGAATCGAACAAGCAGTCAAACACCGATAGGCATTGCACGCTTGACGTGAAGCAGGAACACCGAGCATGAATCCTGCTGATATTGATGGTGGAGAAGAAAGAGGCAACTTACTTTGATGACGACAGTACGAACGGAATCGAATCCTGGACGTGTAGTCAATGTGATCATGGGTGCCCCTTGCAGCCTCCTCATGGCCTGCAGAGGGCCGTTGATGGAAGAATGCGCCTTGGCTGTCCCATTCAAGAGTCTGCTTGGCAAGGTGAAGATAGGCTCCAGAATCTGGTGGCTTCGCAACCTGACACACGTTTAGGGTGTAGTCATGATGTACGACAACAGTGTCACATCCATCTGGAGATTGGTGGAGGCGTGGAGGCGGTCTAGTCGATGGCTAAATCGTCCACTGCAAGTATGGCATTCAGCTTGAGGCCTCAGGGATTCTTGTTCAGGAATCCATGGAGCCCTGAGGTGAGGGGCTTGCAGCTTGAGGGAACAAGTTCTGGCATTCACAAAATCTCAGATAAGCCCCTCGCGCGCACCATCAGATCTACGATGATGACAATGCAGACGGAGCCCACCAGAGCGAAGACATAGAGGTAGGATGCCAGCTGATTCAGAACCTTGACGAAAGGAGCTCTGAAAGTTTGAAGCGGGTGTTCGATGGGAATCTTCGAAACTTTGCTACGAACGCAGAAGGTAGCGGGCAGTGGAAAAACGTTGCGTGTGGAAGCACCTGAAAGACAAACGTCAAAGATTACAAATCCCTCTCGCGGAAGCATGTGGAAGCAGCTGACTCACAAAGCTCTTGGAAAGGTATAGGCCAAGGGTCTTCACGAATGAGGTACACCCGCAGGCAGAACAGCGATGATGTACCAAAGGCTACTGTGATGAAACCATGCAAGGTTTGTCTTCGCGGCTGAACAGAATCTAAGTGCATATTTGGAACGCTTGATTTGGAAGGCTGTGACTGACAGCGTTGTTCACACTTCCTCAGGGAGGCGTGCTCCCATCAGGGCCTGGAGATGATGTTGAAGCCAGGAAAGGCCAAAGGCTGCTAAATGAAGTGGGAACCCTGAATTGAAAGGTGCCCACCTTTTGAGAACAGCCATGAGTTTCAACTTGGCTGCTTTCCAGCAGATGCTAGATAGCATTGTGCTGTGCGTATGAGCTGTATTGGTCTTTGAGAGCGATGCAGGGTGCTGACTGAATGGTAACCAGCCACGTAGGATCTGAGGCCACCACTGGCTGGACCAGTCCGTTATGCCACATGATCCAGAAGACAATGCTGTAGAAGACTGCGATGGCCTTGGTTGCTAAGTCTCCTTGTTTAGTGCGCAGTGCAGAACGATCCCATCAAAGCCGGTGCAGTTGAGCCAAGGAATTACCAAATCAAAGAGGTGCTGTGGACTCTTCCCCAAGGCTGCAAATGCAATCAACCATGACCAGAACAGGAAGGCCAAAACGAG